GGGGCCCCTTGAACACATCAAGATGAGCTACGGGCGTGGGGGCAGTGCTTGGGAAGGGGGTTGTGGGAGTTATTACTGACCTTCTGCCATCTTGGACATGCATGCTATAGGTTGACCATCCTGTATTACGTTATAATGAACGAAAACTGACGACGATAGTCAATATTCAACTACATTTCTTTCCCCTTGTAAATTGACAAAAGCTCTGTACTCAGAGGACAATGAGTAAATAGACCTTATTAATAATGGGCAACTATAAGAAGCAGCAGAGGGCTGTTAAGAGAGGGCCAGAGCAGGACTCAAGGAAGCATTTGGCACCTAATTTTGCAACTAACAGGCAACAAGTATTCTCTCTCGGCCTAATTTTGCTTGCTTGTATAGGAATAAAATAGTTATCAAGGGATAAAATGGTTATCGAGAAAATTATAGAGAAAAACAAGTACAACATTGATTATAAAAAACTATAAATCTTGGGACCAGCAGATGACAGAATGGTTACGTTGCTGGACTCCCACACAGTCAACCACAGTTTGAATCCCGGACCTGGTGGCTTGAAACTCATGCTGGGTGTGTGCACAAGATCCTGAGAGGATAGATAGGACCAGCAGTTAGCATAATGGCTATGCCGCCGGACTCCCACATAGTGGACCATGGTTCAAGTCCCGGACCCGGTGGCTTAAACTCACGCTGGGCGTGGGTGCATGCGTGTCCAAGATCCTGAAAGGAGAATGGAGGAGAAGGGATTGTGGTGTGGCCATCCCACCTGGGAGGTAATTTCTCACTTTCTGTCTCTCTGTCTTCCTGGTGAGTGCATGCGCCCTATAGCAAAAAGCTCTCTCTAAAAAAACAAAAACAAAAAAACAAAAAAAACCTCTCCAAAAAAAAAAAAAAAAAAAAGATCCCAAAAGAAGGAGAATGTTCTCTAGTGAGTGCACATGCCTGCCCTATAGCAAAAATCTCTCTCTAAAAAAACAAAAACAAAAAAACAACAAACAAACAAGCTTATAACTCTTTAAATAAAGGCCAAGTATGTATTTTTATCATCCTCTTGCTGTAAGTCATCTTCCAGTTTTTCAGGATCCAGATTAAGGCTCCCTAGGCACGCGTGGTTTGGATTTCACAGAACACACATTTAACCCCTCCTGCTTCCCCCATTCATCAAAACTGTCTATGCCGTTTGTGTAAAACCGAAAAACAAAAAGCTCACAAATTCTCATAAAAGAGGCAAGTTGATGCTCTCTTTTGAGGAAATCACTCTTCCAAGTACCCCTCTCCAGTGGCAGATGTTTAACTACTGCATACGTCACCTCTTCTAGAGTTGGGAAGTAGGGTCTGTGGCTATTTTTTCCCCACTCTATTGAAGAGCCTGACCCTGCCAAGGCCCATACCACTTGGCAGGAACCTTCCTGCCTTCTTGTTGCTTTCCCACATCAGGCTAGTTATTTTTTTCATTTATCAAAGGGTCTGACACCTGGCTCCGTAGTCCTCCGTACTCCTGCTACCAACCTGGGTAACAATGTAAGTAACCATTAAGTTCCATGGTCCCTGAGGTTTTCTCATTTTGTTTTGTTTTAGTTTTTTTGCTAGAGGGCGCTCACCAGAGAGAGTAAGTGAGAAAACACCCCCACCCCCCACCCCTCCCCCCGTGGAAATAGTCATGCTGCAATCCCTTCTTCTCTAGTCTCCTTGGGATTTGGGGCAAATATGTGCCCAGTGTGATTTTCAAGTCACCAGGTACAGAACTGGAACCCCACAGTTGGCCACAACAGATCCAGTCCCTTAACATCTGTGCCACCTACTGGCCCCTCTGGAATATTATTCATCTCCTTATCTCCAATGAACTCCATCAGTCTGCCTCAGTTTCTGTGCCTGGGTCATGTCCCAAACTGTTCTCACAGACTGTTTTACTCCCAAAACCAGCCTGTCCAGCATGCCAACTATGGTCACTCTGATGCCTTGAGATCACATGCACACAACTCGACTTCGAGTTGTTTTTCCTCTCCCTACCTCCTTTTTTTTCCCTCTCCACTTCCCTTTCCTTCCAGATTCTTCAGCCCATTATTTCAGTGACATTCTGAACATTCTCTTCGCTCTCGACTACCAACACTCCAACCCAAACTAACCCCAACTATGTGCTTTTCTGTCCCTGGTCCTGAACTGCCAACTACTAGTGACATGTCTGACCAACTTCGAATGCACATTTCATATTCTAGAACTTTGTCCTGGTCAATATGCTTTCCCATTTTCTACAATGACTACTTTGAATTGTCTACACTCAGTTCTCAAACCTCGGATCCTTCCATTCTCAGCATGTACTACTTCCTGTATAACAAAGAAAGCAGGACCCATGAGGTAGGAATTTCCTAATATCAACCATAAGCACCCATGTTCACCGGCACTACCCCTCCTCCTTTCCTTCTACATATCTACCCATCCTCTTATCCAAGGTCAGCCCCTCTGCCAGTCTTTGTTTCTCATTCCCTTTTACCTTCTCAAGTCCCAGACCTCATCAACGATGTCTTCTCTCCCCTAGAGTTTACCTGTTCTATGGAAGCATTTTGATTCTTACAGGCAGCAGTAAATAAATTCAAATCTTAAGATAAAAAAAATCTCTGGGCATGGTGGTGCCCGCCCTATGGCAAGATGAAAAATATCTCATCCGCCAACCCCCCACCACTGTGCCTTTTACCTCTCGCTCTTCTTCATAGTCAAACTTCATGAGAATAGTATTCACTAGCTGCCTCCATTTCCTCACCTTCCACTGACTCTTCAACCTACTCCCATTACCTTCGCTCCCTTCACTCCAGTAAGAGTGCTCATCAAGATCACCAACAACCTTCTTGTTCCTAAACCTAGTGGACTCTCTTCAATTCACATTTTGCTTTTGATGCTGCCAAGTGCTCCCTTTGTTTTGAAATACTCTTTTTCTTGGTTCAGGCAATTGTACATTTTTCTGAGGTTTCTCCTAATGCTTGCTCAGTCTCATTGCAGGCTCATTCTTCTCCTACCCAGCCACTGTAAGAGGTTTCTGAAAGTTCACTATTGGTCCACTTTCACTCCATGTTTTTGCCCTAAAGAACTGCTTCAAATATCACCTACTCCCAAATGCTTCCTAGCTCCTTCACCTAAACCTGTAGCCTCAGGTCTACACACCCATGCCCAACTACCTACTTGATATCTCCTCTTAGATACTTCAAAAGCACTTCAAACCCAATGTATCCAAAGGAGAACTCACAAGCTATCCCTTACCACATTTGGACTTTTACTGTTTCCTCTATCAAAGGAACCATCAATCTGGTTGTGAGCTAGAAACTCAGCAGTTAAGTCTAACATGTCTATTTCCTTCATCCACCCACATCTAATCCACCAGCAAGAACTGTCAAATTTAGCTCCTAAATACATTTGAGATGTAGTCACTTCTCTTCATCTCCATTGCTATCACCCTAGTCAAAATTATCATCTCTCAGCAAGCTTTACTGCAACAAGGGTCCTACTAGTCTATCCCGTCTTTTCAAAGTACAAATCCAAGGGTCAAGTGGTTGCCTAGAGGTAGGACAGCTGGGCCTGGAAAGGTCTTGGGTGCACGCCCCAGGGCCTCTCTGAGCATACTAGTTGAGACTGGGGGTGGGTTGGTGTGAAGACCTATCAAGAGTACTTATCTCTTTCTCTCTCATTGAAGAAATAAATATATATATCTTTTTTTTTTTTTGGAGAGGTTTTTGCTATAGGGCATGTGCACTTGCCAGACAGAGAGAGAGACAGAGAGACAGAAAGCGAAAAATCACCCCCCAGCTGGGGATGGTCACGCCGCAATCCCTTCTTCTCCATTCTCTTCTAGGGATCTTGGGCACGCACGCACACATGCCTGGCGTGAGTTTTAAGCCACCGGGACTGTGACGCAAACCATGGTCGACTACGTGGGAGTCCAGCGACATAGCCATTACATTAACTGCTGGTCCCAGAAATAAATATACTTAAAAAAAATCTGATACTGGGACCAGTAGTTAGCGCAATGGCTATGTCGCTGGACTCCCACGTAGTCAACCACGGTTCAAGTCCCAGATCCGGCGGCTTAAACTCACGCTGGAGGCGTGTGCATGCGTGCTCAAGATCCTGAGAGGAAAATGGAGGAGAAGGGATTGTGGCGTGGCCATCCCCCCGGGGGATGATTTCTCCCTTTCTATCTCTCTGTCTCTCTCTGTCTTTCTGGCGAGCGCATGCGTCCTATAGCGAAAACCTCTCCAAAAAAAAAAAAAACCAATCTGATACTGAAACTATTCTCTACCCCTTACCACATTAACATGTCTTAAGAAAATTTTAAGATAAGGAGAAACAATCAACAGAACTCTAAGGCCTCTGACTCCCATTTACCCACCAATTTCATTACATCTCTCCTTTCTGCTCCCTGTGTTCTAGTCTAAATGCCCCTTCATTTAGTTCTTCCTACGACCATCCTTGTAAGAGAGCTAAGGTATGCGTTGTTCTTGTCTGGGACTCACTACCCTGTCCTTTCCATAGTTAAATCACTTTCTTATTTTTAGAGCACAGCTTCAATGCCACTTCTTTGAGTCTCTCAGACCAGGACCCTCAGGCTAGGACCTCTCCCTGATAAAACCCTATTCTTAGCCCAAATCTGTTTTCCTGTGCCTAGATCTGAGCTGCCAACCACTGAGGATGTCACCAACGTGCTCCTCCCCCTCAGAGGCTCTCTCCGACAAAGTCCTGCCATTTATTTATAGGCAGTCACAGCACCATATGCCCCTCCTTCACAGCATGGACCACAGTTCTAATTTAACATTTATCTTTGTGACAGTTGCCTAGTGTCTGCCTCCTCCATTTTATCCCATAAGGTCCACAAAGACAGGGTGCTTTCTTCTCCCTGAAGGATCCCCAGTGCTTCACTCCTCTGTCTACCATTTGGTGGGCTCTCCAAAGGAGTCTATATATATATTTATACACACACACACACACACACACACACACATATTTAAGTGCCTTACCTTGTAAATCTTCCATCAACTCAAACATTCCAGGATAGTTAACTTGAATTTCATCGGTATCCTATTTTAAAAGAAAAAGGAATACTCATTTGACATTCATCATTAAATAAACAAACAAATAAAAATAAATAAATAAATAAAGATTTGAAAAGGAGATGTGGAGATCACCCAGGCCAATCTCTCATGGAAAACAAGAAAACTTCTTTACAGTATTCTTCATCTGGCTTATGCTTAATTTAAGAAGATTTCAAATTGGGGGACCAGCAGTTAGCGTAATGGCTATGTTGCTGGACTCCCATGCAGTGGACCGCAGTTCGAGTCCCGGACCCAGTGGCTTGAACTCATGCCGGGCGCATATGTGTGCATGCCCAAGATCCCAGGAGGAGAATGGAGGAGAAGGGATTGTGGCACGGCCATCCCCACTGAGGGGTGATCTCTCGCTTTTTCTCTCTGTCTCTCTCTGTCTTTCTGGTGAGTGCATGCGCACTGTAGCAAAAACCTCTCTAAACAAAGAAAAAAAAAGATTTCAAATTGCTAAATAGACATTCCCCATGTGAGAGTCATTTTTCTAAAACTCTATCAACTGATTCTAGTTCTCTCCTTGGGAACAATACAAAAATAAGCCTATGTTATCCCATACAAACCACCGCCCTCTTCTCTAAGTCTTTCAAAACTCTTCTAGAACACTATAATTTTTTTGGAGAGGAATCAGTCTTCTAGACAAAAGTTATAGATCTTTACATGTTTTGACTACATTTTGCGGACATAGCAGTAATCTTTCTTAAAATATGGTACATAGTTGCTGGATTCCCCACATGGCTGACAGCGGTTCAAGTCCTAGACCTAACAGCTTGCTTTCTCACTTTCCCCTTCTCTCACTCTGTCTCTCCGGTCAAATTAAAAAATAAATAATAACAAATAAAATTAAATGAAGAGATAATTTTTTGAAAATGTACCTATAGGGTCAGCAGGTGGCGTGGTAGTTGAGGGCATGGACTCCCACATGGCCGACAATAGTTGGAGTCCTGGACCTGGTGGCTTGCTTTCTCACTTGCCCTCTCTCTCTTGCTCTGTCCCTCTCTGGTCAAATTTAAAAAAAAAAAAAAAAGTTAACATAAAATAATTCTTTTTTTTTTTTTTTGGAGAGGTTTTTGCTATAGGGCGTGTGTGCTCGCCAGAAAGACAGAGAGAGACAGAGGGAAAAAAGAAACCCCCCCCCCCCCCCCCCCCGTGGGGATGGCCACGCTGCAATCCCTTCTCCTCCATTCTCCTCTTGGGATCTTGAGCACGCATGCACACGGGCCCAGCGTGAGTTTTAAGCCACCGGGTCTGGGCCTCAAACCGCTGTCAACTATGTGGGAGTCCAGTGACATAGCCATTACACTAACTGCTGGTCCCAAAATAATTCTTTTAAAAAATGTGGTACTTAGAATTAAGTCAAATATGGTCATCTTCTAAGATATTTTCATTCTATTTCTAGTAATGCAGCCAATACTACATTTAAGAGATGAGCATACTGCTGGCACATGCTGTGTTTATTTCTCAAATGAACTACTGGACAATGGCTCCACTTTCTTTCTGAAGCTTGACACATGAGGCTGCTGTTAGTACAGAGGCAGAGGCACTGCTGCTCTCCTAATATCCAGGTGCTCCTAGATACTACCCAACCCCAAAAAGACATTTCTTCTAGCCAAAAAAAGAAGGGACAAGGCAGTAAAAAGCTAGTGAGTCCTACGTAGGCCATGTCTTTTGCTGTGGGGACCTACATGAGCTGTCCAGCCACCAGAGGGCTGCGATGTGATAAAATTTCTCAGGTTAAGCACTAAGTAGTAGAGATGCATCTGTACTGGAAACTAGCCCTAAATAAGTCTAAATGCCATTAATCGAGGACTGATTAGGGCCAGTAGGTGGTTTGGTAGTTAAAGTGCTGGACTCCCACAAGGCTGATCACAATTTGAGTTGTGGTCCTGGTGGCTTCAAAATCATGCCAGGTGCATGTGTATGCATTCCCAAATGCCCAAAATCCCAGGAAGTGAATAGAAGAGAAGGGGTTGTGTTATGGCCATCCCCTTGGGCAGTGGGGTGATCTCTCACTTTCCCTTTCACTATCTTTCTGTCTCTCTCCAGCAAGTATACACACCCTATGGCAAAAACCTTGGGGGGAAAAAAAGAGGATTGGGACCAGCAGGTGGCGAAATGGTTACATCACTGGACTCCCACATGACTGACTGTGGTTCGAGTCCTGGACCTGGCAGCTTCAAACTCACACCAGGCATGTGTGCATGTATACTCAAAATCCTGGGCAGAGAATGGATTGCAGAGTAGCCATGCCCCTGGGAGGTGATTTCTGGTTTTTTGTCTCTCCATCTCTCCAATGAGCGCATGTGCCCTATAACAAAAATAAAGAACATCTGTTCAGTGACAGACTACATAACTGCCAATAAAGAATGAGACAGATATATGTTTACAGGAGAACTTCTTTAAGGTTTCTAACTGACTGGGGGAAGAAAGTGTGTATGTTATTGCATATGTGGTTTTAAACGGCACTTCTATTCCTGTCAATGAGGAAAAACTGTTCTGAAAAGATGTGCAAAACAAGACTCAGTTAACAAACCTTCTGGGGAGAGGGCAGAGTGTCAGCAGTCATTGCTCTATCTCTATGAAGGTATTTTCCTATTTCTCCTTTTTTAAATATATGCATGGATCAGGCAGTGTGTGCGCTTTTTAATAGGACTACTTCTGGGCAGTGTTATCATGACCTTTCATCTACATATTTTTCTATATTAACAAACTATTCTAAAAAGAGATTCTAAGGTTAAACACAAAATTCCTTCCAGGATGATACCTAGCTATTAAGCAATTTCCTTTGAAAACAGTTCTTCAGTGAAATCAACCAAAAGCACTATCCACATCTCAATCGAAAGAGAACAACATGGGACCAGCAGACAGTGTAGCAGTTACCTTGCTGAACTCCCACATGGCCCACCGCAGTTCAAGTCCAGGATCTGGGAGCTTCATTAATGTGGGGCACATGTGTGGGCATACTCAAAATCCCAAGAAAGAGGACAAGCAGTTAGCGTAATGGCTATGCCGGCTGAACTCCCATGTAGTTGACTGTGGTTGGAGTCCCAAACCCGGTGGCTTAAACTCACACCAGGCACATGTGCGTGCGTGCCCAAGATCCTGAGAGAATGGAGGAGAAGTGATTGTGGCATGGCCATCGCCCCTGGGAGGTGATTTCTCGCTTTCTGTCTCTCTGTCTTTCTGGTGAGTGCACGTGCCCTATAGCAAAAACCTCTCGAACAGAAAAAAAATTCTAAGAAGAGAATGGAGCAGAAGAGACTGCAGCATGGCCATACCCATCCCCCCCACCCTCAGGGTGAGTGATTTCTTGCTTTCTGTCTCTGCCTCTCTGATGAGCATGCATGCTCTATAGCAGAAATCTCTCCAGCAAATAAGAAATTTTTTTAAAACAGAACTGTGGGGGCCAGCAGGTGCCACAGTAGTTCAGGTGCTAGACTCCCACATGGATGACAGCAGTTTGAGCCCGGATTTAGTGGGATGCTTTCTCACTTTCCCTTTCTTTCTCTCTCTCTCTCTCTTTGGTCAAGTTAAACAGTAGTAATGATAATAAATAAAATGAAATAACTCTTTGAAAAAAAGAGAGAACCACAACAGTTTTGTCAAAGGCCTTATTCAAATTAAGATGGACTATATCTGCAGTCTTCTCTTAATGCACTAGTCCAGCGGTTTTATTCTTTAAGGAAATGAGCCTCATGTAGAATGCCAATGAACTCAGAAAACAATTCACTAAAAGGTCCCATGAATAAATTCAAATACAACATATGATACTAATTTGACTTGATTTCATTTTAGAAATACAAACCCATTGCAATGTAAAAGTAATATATCTAATGTATAAAATGAATAAATCTGTATAATTGATTTCATAAAAGCTTCTTTGGATGGAAATATTTATGAAATGAATTAGGATGCAATATTATTATTATTATTATTATTATTATTATTATTATTTTGGAGAGGTTTTTGCTACAGGGCTTGTGTGCTCACCAGAAAGACAGAGAGAGACAGAAAGCAAGAAATCAACCCCTGGGGGGATGGCCACACCGCAATCCCTTCTCCTCCATTTTCCTCTCGGGATCTTGGACACACATGCACACGCGCCCAGTGTGAGTTTTAAACCACCGGGTCTAGGACTCAAACCATGGTTGACTACACGGGAGTCCAGCAACATAGCCATTACACTAACTGCTGGTCCCCTAGTATGCAATATTATTATAGCACTTCAGAGACAGGATACAATTCATAATTTGAGGAACAAATTCTTATAGCTTTATCATTAACTCAGCAATTTTCTAATTTTATAACCTGTAAAGAAGATTCTACATCAGTATCTTTGTATTATATTAACGTTTAAGCCATTCAGCTAATTTTTGGAGCATATGTAAACTATTCTGAATTAGATTTTTCAGGTAACAGAAGTGTAGGCTTTTAAATGTTATATTGCTAGATTAAACATTTTTAATAGAAACCTGTCTGAAACACATAACCTACTTTTCAACCGTATAAAATCACGTGTGATGAACAGAATTTAACTTTCTTTTGGTTACTGAGGATAGAATTCCCATGTTTTTTCTAATGAGCAACTTTTGAGTCCCTGAAAGCTGATGACTAACCTGGACGACTTGGCGCATTTTTTAACATCATCCCATGAAAGTGTGCACTATGCCTCTCATGTCACCTACCCAATCTATCCCTTTTAGAGGACTTACATGCCCAAAGATTTTTTTTTTTTCACCTCAATTATAGGTTTATAATAGCAACATGGTAGACAACTTTTAAGAGGGTAAACTATAAAGGCAATTTTTTATATTTTAATTAAAATACATACTAGTGATTAGGGTTTGAAACCAGTAGTTTCTCATCTAATTTCAGTCACAGTAAATCTCTCAAGATCTGATGAAAAGCATGGGCACCTGCCTCCACAAATGAAAAACAAAAACCTATCTTGCATACAACATCCTAGTATGTACTGTACCCTCTACAGTCTACTGACAAGATCACTGTAAATCCAAGAACATTCAGCAGAGGTTTTCATCTATCTTGCTCACTACTATATACAACATACCTAGCACAGAGTCTGGTGCATGGAACAAATAAATTAAATAGAAGGATACTTATTATACCATTGTTTCTATCGGCCAAAAGTTAGAATAAACCTAAATGTCTTGTAGGAATATAGTTAGGTAAAACTGTGGTACATTCATATGAGGCAATGACGTGCAAAAGAAGCACTGACTGAGAAAATTCTCTGAACTATACTGTTAACAGTGAAAAAAAGGGCCAGCAGATGGTGTGGTAGTGAAGGTGCTGGATCCTACAGGGCCAACACCGCAGTTCAAGTCCTGGATCTGACAGGTTGAAAATCATGCAGGTGCATGTGTTTGCATGCCCAAAATTTCGAGGAGAGACTGGAGAAGGGACAGCAGCATGACCTTCCCCCCTCGAAGGTTATTTCTCACTTTCCTTCTCTCTCTGTTAGTGTTTTTATCTGGAGAGCACTCACATTCTGTTATAAAAATATTTTTTAAAAAAAGAGTGAAAAAAATGGCTAGCTGGTGGTGAGGTGGTTGGTGTGGAGTTAAAGTGACTAGATTTCAGTTGGCTGACTTTGTGGTTCAAGTCCTGGTGATTTGAGAAACATGTAGGTATGTGGCTGTGTGTGCCCAAAGTCCTGAGAGGAGAGAGAAAGGGAGGAAGGATTACAGTATGATCATCGACTCCCCCTGGAGAAAAAAGTGTTTTCTCATTTTCTTTCAGTCTCTCCAATAAATACATATACACTGTCGCAAATAAAAATAGTTTCTTTTAAAAAAAAATGGGTGAATGGGGCTAGCAAATGGCATGTCATTAAGGTGCTGGATCCCACATGGTTGACTCTGTGGTTTGAATCCCAGACCAGGCAGCCTGAGAATCATACTGGGTGCCTGTGTATGTGTGCCTAAAATCCCAAGAGGAGAATGGAGGAGAAGGGACTGTGGTGTGGGCATCCCCCCTAAGGGATGATTTCTTACTTTCCCTTGCTCTGTCTCTCTGTTTCCTCTGGCCAGGGCACATGCCCTACACACACACACACACACACACACACAAAAAAAAAGCCGTGAAAAACAAGTTTCAGGAATATATTATGTTCATGTGAGTGTCTATATATTTTGGGTTATCAGAAAAGTCAAGATATATTTTTTCTATGCAAAAATGTGTCATGATTTTTCTGACAACCCAATAATATAGTAATTTTTTCTTTAAAACAAAACAAAAACATAGCACATTATATGCCACACTGATACCAGCAGGTATCTCTAGGGTAGCAGTTCTAAAAATACAGTTTGGAAAGTCCTAAGGTTCTTGAGACACTTTTGGAGGTTCATGAAATTAAAATTGCTTTCATAATATATGATGCTATTTGCCCTTTTCACCTTTCATTCCACAGTAAAATTACTATTACTATTTTTGGCCAGAGGGTACATATGTATATACAAGAGAGAGAGAGAGAAAGAGAAGAGGAAAAAACAACAATGACAAAGCCTGGTCATGCAGCAATCCTTTTTTCTTCCATTTCTCCACCCTGTAGGATGTGGGCATGCACACATGTGATGAGTGTTTTTCAGGGTCAGGATTCAAACCATGATTGGTCCTGTGGGTGCTGACAGCCTGTGTGGTGCTTAACTGCTACACTACGGGGGTGGTCTAAGAATATTATTTTAAAGATAATTTATTTATTTCCCCAGTGGGATCCTGACTGCACCATCCACCCCAGCCTTCAGGCAGCCCAGGATCTCGGGTAAGCATATGCCAGGTGTACTCAGGAAGGCCTGCAGACTTGAACCAGGAACCATCCCATGTTGGACTGGCTCACAGAGTGCTTGGTTTTACAGCTGCACCACGGTATGGCTTCATATAAATGGAATTTTCAGAAGCTCCATGACATGTGGTGTAGCAACAGAGCTAAACACAGAAGCAGATATGAGACTCTATTTTATTAGAGCATGCATTAAAGAAATTTGAAAAATGTGAAGCAAAGTATTTCTCTAAACTTTTCTTTTTGTTTTAGAAAATGTAGTTATTTTTCTGTTTCTTATTATACATAAGAAACAGGTTATATATGTTAACAAGTGATAGGTATATTATTGATATTTTTTAATTAATTAATAAATATTAAAACAAATTCATCTTTAATTCCTAATATGGTCAATAATGGTAGATACAATTCACTTACACAAAAGCCCTTTAAGGTCCTCAGTAATTTTTTAATTGTATAGAGAAATCCTGAGACCAAAATTTTGAGAACTGTTGCTCTCAGAAGAAAGCTAGGATTTTCAGAACTAAGGGAGAATAATAGACTTTTATTTTTAGTTATATTTTTATTTCTTTTAGTTTTTTAAAAGAATTATTATTTATTATTATTATTATTATTATTATCATATTTCAGTTTGACTAGAGAGAGACAGAAAGGGAAATTGAGAAAGCAAGCTGCCAGGTCTGGGACCTGAACCATGGTCAGTCATGTAAGAGTCCAGGGCCCCAACTACCCTATCACTGCCAGTCCCCATAGTTTTCTTTAAAAACAAAACAAAACAAAAAAAACAAAACAAAAAAACTTTTGCCCATTGAGTATGTGTGCTCACCAGAGACGGGGTGGTGGGGGTGGAGGGGGGTGGTGAAAAATCAATCCCCCAGAGGGGATGGCTACAACACAGTCCCTTCTCCTCCATTTTCTTCTTGGGATTTTGGGCGGGGACATGGACACACACGGACACACACACACACACACACACATACACACGGACACACACATGCAACATGATTTTCGAGCTGTCAGATCCAGGACTTGAACTGTGTAAGATGGCCAATTGGGAGAATCTAGCTGCCGTTAACTTCCTATTTCCTCTACTCAGGTTTAGAAATGTTTCTGGGCCTAAGAGGTTTGGAAAACTACAGCAAATCTACTCAGTTGTCCTCTGATGAGAGTAATGAAGTCCTTTAAAATGTCTCCGCTATTGGAGGGAAGTGAAAGGGGGTAATAATTGTCTCTCCAGATGATGCTCAGTCAGAAGCCATGTCCTAGAAAGGGCAAGGAGTAGAGGGTTGTGGAAAGAGGAAGTCAGGAGCCAGTATTTACTGACCATCTTCGAGGTCAAGATACTTCACATCCTTTATCTTATTTAATACTAACAACCACCTGAGGTGAGTAACATTTGCATTTTAAAAATAAATGAATGCTCAAAGAGGTGCAGTAAATGTCCCAACTTCTGGTTTATAAAGGGCCAGGGCAAAGTTCCAAGTTACATGCACTGCATACCCAAGTTCTATCCTGTCACTCAACAGCTGACTTCCTGTTTCTTCTTAGTAACTGCCTGTGGGTCTTCTTTCTAGAACGGTCCAGACCTAATGGAGTAGAACATTCAGCATGCCTTACCATCTCTAACCTTGATCTAACCCTAGGCCTGAAGAACATGCATTCTCTCATTTTTATATCATGTCAATGTTCCAACTGAGGGCTACAGTGAAGATAATAATATAAATGCCCCTGAATAGCAACTTTTTTCTATCATCTGGAATACTCTAACTCCCATATTATACCTACCTCTGGATTTAAAAATCCTGAGAGAACAGGGTGCTCATAAAATAGTCTCCTTGCTAAGTATGTTACATTTTTTTTCTTTTCTCAGTTACCTATCCTGGCAATAAATACTAAAATACTACATTCCTACCTCATGTCCATCAAGATGTATCATACAAACCAGATAAGTTCAATGGAGCTTTTCTTTTTAAAAAAAGAAAGAAAAAAAGAAAGAAAGAAAGAAATGAGGAAAAAGTGCCAAAACCTTTCCATAATACTATAAATATATATAATCTTCTATCTTTAAAATAAAAAGTTTCTGAACTTGTAATTAACAGGTCCTTGATAGTTACCACGGTCAGTGTATTAAAGCCAGCTCTCCCAAGCAGATGTCCTAGGTCATTGACAGCAGTGAAAGGAGAAACGTGGGGCGAAAATCCCCCTTCCCTTTCTGTTTCTGCTAACTGCAATGAACATCGAAGTTCATACAGTGTGTCGCCTCCAAACATTGCACCAATGAACGCTCCATCTGGTTTTAAAACATAATGAATCTGCAATAAATACAAGACAACAAAAGTATTGAAAATTGTTATATATATATTAAAATAATAAATACATAGGGTCTAAATCAATAGTTTATGACTTGCATTCTGCCAAATTAATTCAGGGGGTTTAAGAACTAATGTCTAACACAGTCACTGGAAAGTCACTGCTGCATAATGTGGTTGGAAAGACAGACCACCTCCACTGCCAGTCCAGCTCCTTAGCTCAGTGGTTAATGAAGCAGAATCAGACATGGCCAGCTGGGGTTCAGATCCCAGTCCTGGTGGCTTGAAAAGTAAGCTGGGTGGGTGTGCATGCATGCCCCAAATCCTGAAAGAATGAAGGAGAAAAGATTGTGGAGTGACTACACTCTACTGGGGGAATGGTTTCTCTTTCTTTCTTACGCGTGCATACACCCTCTGGCAATTAAAAAAAAAAAGAACAATAAAACTAATAATATTAATACCTATAAGATACATAGCATGTTTTCAAATTTTTTAATAGACAATACATTTTTTTTTTCATTTTGGTCATCGGGTACATGAACTTTGCTGGAGAGAGACAAGAGAGATAGTGAGAAATCATCTTCCAGGGTGAATGGCCATGCTGCAATCCCTCCACCTCTCAAGATTTGGGGCACACACGCACATGTACCAGGTATGATGGGTCCAGGACTAGAAATGTGGTTGGCCATGTGGGAGTCTAGCACCATAATTACTAAACCACCTTCTAGCCCCCAGGACTTATTTTTATAATCAGAAAAACATGAAAAGAAAAAAATTTAATTGTGACAGATTATAAAAATCATAATTCTCCCTGAATCCATGGCCTCTAAAGTGTCATTTTGTAACTCAAGACAGAGTCTATTTCTCCTCTACTTGAATCTAGGTTGGCCTTGTGACTTGCTTCGGACAAAAGAACTCAGTGGAAAAGATTGCCATTTCCAGACTAGATCCCAAATGGCCTGCAAGCTTCCACCTGCTCTCTTGGAGCCCTGCCTTGCCACCATGTTGTGAACAAGCCTGAGTTAGCCTGGTGGAGGACGACAGCTGTAAGCAGGGATCAGCTAGTTGTTCCAGCTGAGGTCATCCCAGACCAGTCAGCTCCCAGACAATCTGGCAGTTGATCACAGACTCATGAGTGAGCCAAGACAGACCTAGAAAAATTTCCCAACTAAACCCAGCCTAACTGCCAACCCACAAAATTATGAGCTAAATAAACAGTTGTTGTTTTAAGCCACTAAGTTGGCATGGCTTACTACTCAGAAATAGCTAGTCTATAAAGAGATCATGATTTACAACAGTAACCTGGTAACATACTCGTTTTCTAATTTACTCTTTATTATTTATCATTATCATTTTTTATTTTTTTTAGAGAGATTTTTGCCACAAGGTATGTGTGCTCATTGAAGAGACAGAGAAAGCCAGAAAGACAGAAAGCAAGAAATCACCCTCCAGAAGGGGAAGGCCATGCTGCAATCCCTCCTCCTCCACCTTCCTCTCAGGATCTTCAGCATGCACACGTGCTTGGTGAGAGTTTTAGGTCACTGGGTCTGGGATTTGAATTGTGGTCGACTACATGGGAGTCCAGTGACATAACCATTATGCCATCTGCTGGTCCCTATTTATCATTATTACTGTTTTTCAATTTGCTACAGGACACGTGCATTCACTAGAGAGAGACAGAGAGAGACAGACAGAAATGAGAAAGCAAGTAGCCAGGTCTGGGACTCAAACCAGGGTTGGTCATGTGGGAGGTCCAGCACTTTAACCACCACAATACCTGCTGGCTCCCACACTAGTTTTCTATGAGAAATCATTATTTTCCAGTTTTAAGACAAAAAACACTTTTAATTTTTAAAATTATTTATTTAGTTAGTTTTTTAGTTTTTGCTATAGGGCATGTGTGCTCACTGGAAAGACAAAGGAAGAGAAAGTGAGTAATCACCCTCCTAAGAGAATGGCCACTCCACAATTCCTTCTCCACCCTCCTTTCGGATCACACGTGCACACAGGCCCAGCATGATTTTTTTTTTTTTTTGAGAGGTTTTAGCTATAGGGCGCATGCGCTCACCAGAGAGCCAGAAAGTGAGAAATCATCCCCCGGGGGGATGGCCATGCCACAATCCCTTCGCCTCCATTCTCCTCTAGGGATCTTGGGCACGCATGCACACACACCTGTCATGAGTTTAAGCCATTGGGTCCGGGACTCAAACCACGGTTGACTATATAGGAGTCCAGCGACGTAGCCATTATGCCATCTGCTGGTCCCCAGCATGATTTTTAAGATGCTATGTCTGGGACTTCAACTGGGGAGCCAGTCATGTGGGACCCAGCCACCTTACTCTCCATGCCACCTGCTGGCTCAACACTTTTTAACTTTTAATTTAAGCAAAATAGTGGCCAGAGTGAATTCAAAAATCACAAATTTGCTCACAGGCTCTGTAAGACCTTAATCTATAACTAGTTCTGGCTCTGACTCCCAACAATGAGGACTGTTACAAAAAGGGTGGATTCTGAAGTAAACCAGAACCAGGTCACAGAAGATTATTTTTTCCCCTTTATTTATGATAGAGCATGTACATATGAGAGAGAGACGGGGGGCGGGGGGGAGATACACATCCTCCCTAGGGTCTATTCATGCTGTGATCCCTTCCTCCGGCTCCCTAGTCTGTTGGATCTTGGGCACTGTGCAGGCATGGCCAGAGTGTTCAGGCTGACCGAGCCGTGGACCTGAAACGGAACCTGAAACGCAGATGTTATGGGGGACTTGGCTCATCTTATGCAGCACATTACTTCCATGCCATGAGGCAGCCCCACAGTGGGCTCTTCTAATCAAGCATCATCTTAAAATTATATTCATTACAAAGCAGTATATAAGCACATCACCCATAAAATGATTGGTTTCTTCCCTTCTTCCTCTTTAGTGTTACTTCCTCGGAGCATGCAAAGTATCTAAGATTCAGTTCTCAGCCCTTTGTAGTTTCCCCCCACCTCAGATGGCTTATCAACTCCCATGATTTTACAAGCATAACATTCCAATCTCTATCTTCAGTCTGGCCATCTCCCCAGAACTCTAGACACACTTTTGACTGCCTGTTCCACAGACATCTCTCAGGAAATTTGTCACCCCAGCTCCCCCTATGCCCATACCCAGAACACCTATTCTCAAACCTATTCTTTCTCACGGACATATCTGTTCATTATTTTATTTTATCTGATCATTACATTGTTTCCCCTACTTTACTAATCACTACACCACCGCTCCCTGCCCTCAGCATCCAGACTCAACACTGAGGTGAATTTTGACTCCTCTTCTTTGATTTTCAAATCCAACTAGCCACTACAATCATGATTCTTCCTTTGAAGAGCCATGAGGACCCCTCTGTTCCTTTTAACTCATGCCACTGCTGTCTAGGTTGAGTTTAGCTCACTCCTGGACCACTGACATAGCTTCCCTTCGACTTAACCAACTTCTCCAGGCATTGATTTTCTAATTAATAAAATGAATATATCTGGCAGGGTTATTTAGCACACATGTAAAACGGAACACCACAACTAGCAAGTAGTATGTGATTAGATATGGTAGTTATCCTGCTGGCCAGCTTTTAAACCATACCACTTTCCTCTTCAAAGTTCTTCAACGGCTTTGAATTGCACAAAGAATCAACTCCAAATTCCTTAACCTGCCACCCAGGTCCTCCTAAATCTCATTCCAATTCCTAGTACTTCTCAATTCCTTTTGTTCTCCAACTACCCTGTGGTTCTGCCATCCCGGAAGGCCTTCCCAATACAAATCTGACCTACCCTGAGACCCTGTGCAAGTACTTTCCTCCTCTCGAAGCTTTCCTAGGCCACTCCAAGCTACAGTGAAGTCTTTCCCTCCTTTGAACTCATGCTTTTTGCCTGCCCCTCAACTGTTCACTGATAAATGTCAATCAATAAACACCTAGCACTCTCTGACTATCAGATAGAGGAAAGATTAAAGTAAATAAATAAATAGGTTCTATCCACAAAAGACTTACAATTAAGGGAAAGAAAGAATCCACACAGAAAATTTCTTATGATATCAGTATTATTTTGTATTTCTAATAAACAAAATAACACAGGATAGCAGAATAAACATAAGTTTTCTCACCTGCTCAAGAGCTCTAGGAAGGTCATTCACCCAATGCAAACTAAAATATAAAATGTTATTTGTTTTAGCTTAATTATAGTATAGTAACTTAATATAATTATCACTAGCATAAAGACACTACTACAAAAAGGTGTTAATTTTCTTTTTTTTTTTTTTTTTTGAGAGATTTTCACTGTAGGGCACGTGCGCTCGCCAGACAGACAGAGAGACATAGAGACAGAAAGCGAGAAATCACCCCCCCAGGGGGGATGGTCACGCCGCAATCCCTTCTCCTCCATTCTCCTCTCGGGATCTTGGGCACGCACGCACACGCACCCGGCGTGAGTTTTAAGCCACCGGGTCCGGGACACGAACCGCGGTCGACTACGTGGGAGTCCAGCGACATAGCCATTACGCTAACTGCTGGTTCCCAAGGTGTTAATTTTCAAATGTGCAATTGTCTACTGAAATTCACTATTTTCATACAAGTTTTAGAATAAAAATTCCTAAAAGAAAACCTCTTTTCTGTCACAGTAGAAAATTCCCTATGTCAGTATATCAGTTTACTTAAATAAAACAAGAAATAAAAATATCTTTTTTTCAAAATTTGCTATAGGGCGCATGCACTTGCTGGAGAGAGAAAGAGGAAGAAAAGTGAGAAGGCACCTCCCAGGGAGGATGACCACACCCCAGCCCCTTCTTCTTCATTTTCCTCTCAGGATTTTGGGTACACACATACACATCCAGCATGTTTTTCAAGCCGCTGGGTCTGGGACTAGAACCACATGTTTGGCCATGTGGGATCCAGCCACCTTAACTACCATGCTACCTGGCTGGCCCCAATTTAATTATTTTTAATCACTGAATAAAATATAAGTCATTCTCACTCAAGCATTTCATCTAAATAGTGCCAATATAAGGCTTTATTTGCATAAAATAATACAAATAAGCACTGATAAACATGTTCCCCCAAAAAAGCTTATCAATTAAACACTCTGGCTGGAGAAACATAATTTTTAAGTCCTATTTTCCTAGAAAAAAATTGAATTATCAATAGACTTAAAATTTTCCCAAGGCAAATAATGTTATTCATTAAAAGTTTAACTCAGTGACTTTTCTGATATTATCCCACTTTGCTATTGTTGTTTATGTGATATTATTATTTGGTAGCAGTTTTAGGTTCACAATAAAACTGATGGAAAGATCAAGAGACATCCCATGTTACTTCTGCCCCTACACAGGCATGTCCTCCCCCATGATCAACATCTCCCACCAGGGTGACGTATTTCCTACAACTGACAACATACACTGAATCATCCTTATCACCCAAAGTCCACAGTTCTTATTCGGATTCACTCCTGGTATATATTCTATGTGTTGGGACAAATATATAATGACATGTATCTCCATTGTTATATGATTCAAAGTAGTTTTACTGCCTTATAAATCTGTTTTCTCCCATCCAATCCTCCCTCCCCCCAACTCCTGAAAACCACTATTGTTTTTATTTTCTCAAGTTTTTCCTTTTCCAAAATATCATACAGTTGGAATCATATAGCACTTGCCTTTACAGAATAGCTTCTTTCACTCAGTAATATGCATTTAGGTTTTTTTGTATGTCTCTTCACAGCTTACGAGCAGATTTCTTTCCATCTTTCTTTCTTTTTTGAGAGATTTTTGCTATAGGGTGCATGCACTCACTGGACAGAGAGAGAGAAATTGCCCCCCCAGGAGGGGTGGTCATGCTGCAATCCCTTCTCCTCCATTCTCCTCTTGGGATTTTGGCCATGCATGCACACGTGCCAAACATGAATATTTTAAATATAATGACTTATTTAATTTTATTTATTCATTCATTTATTTTAATTTGACCAGAGACAGACAGAGAGAGAGAAAGAGTGAGAAAGCAAGCTGCCAGGTCCAGGACTCGAACCATGGTCAGCCATGTAGGAGTGTCCAGCACCTTAACCACCACGTCACCTGCTGGTCCCGCCAAACATGCATTTTAAGTCAACAGGTCTAGGACTCAAACTGTTGTTCAGTAGAAGGGAGTCGAGCTGTGTAACCATTATACCCATTGACTGGTACCAAAAGCTTATTTCTTTCAAGCACCAGAAAATGTTCCACTGTCTAGAAAGACTATAGTTTATACATTTATCCACTAAAGGGCATTTGGGTTATTTCCAAGTTGTAGCAATTACAAATAAAACTTGCACACATTTGTGTGCAAGTTTCTATGTAGACATGTTTTTGTCTCTTTTAGGTAAATATTAAGAAAAATGATTGTTAGATCACATGGTAAGAGTGTGTTTAGTTTTAGGGAAGCAGGTGGCATGGTGGTTAAGGCGCTGGGCTTGAACATGTCTGACCATGGTTCCAATCATGGCCTGGTAGCTTGAAAATCATGCTGACCATATGTGTAAGCATGCCCAAAATCCTAGGAAGAGAATGGAAGAGAAGGGACTGCAGTGTGGCCATATCCCCAGGGGGTGATTTCTCACTTTCCCTCTCACTGTCTCTCTCTGCCTCTCTTGGCTAGCACATGGGCCCTATTGCAAAAACCTTTAAAAAAAAAAAAAAAAGACTGGGACAATTCAGTGGTGTAATGGTTACATCACTGGACTCTCACATAGTTGACTGAGGTGCGAGTCTCGGGTCCTGCAGTATAAAACTTACACCGAGTACATGTCATGTATGCCCAAAATCCCAAGAGGAGGATGGAGAAGAGATTGTGAACGATCCCCCTGGAGGGTGATTTCTTGCTTTCTCTGAGTCTTTCCAGCAAGTGCATGTGCCCTATAGCAAAAATCTCTAAAAAAAAAAAAATTGTGTCTAGTTTTCTAGTAAACGAACTGTCTTCCAAACTGTCTGTGCTATTTTCCATTCCCACCAAAAATAAACAAAAAATCTGCTCTGCATCTAGGATGCAGGAACAAATTTATAGTAAGGGTGCTCTAACATTTGAAAACTGAAGCCAATATATTCTTTCAAATTCTGGTCCCTGTCAATAGCATTTCAGAATACTAAGTTACATCTAGGACTACATCCATCTATCACAGATAAGCCTTATCAAGTGCTTGAAAGTTGGGAAAACACAAAGGAAGTAAAGAATAATTCCTTATGAGAGAAACCTTATAGTTAATAAACCAAGATGACTCGTCTTTAATTTAAAAAAAAAAAAGTTCAAGAATTATTTCTCCTATTATCTTTTTTTAAAACCTTGTGATAGTAATACTTTCTGGCATAAACAGTAATATTTTTAAGTACAAATGGATTACCAACCTTAAGCTGCTAACCACCAGGTCAAATGTATTTTCTCGGAATGGAAGAAATTCTTCATCAGCTAAAATGCTGACAGTAGGAATTTCTGTTTCTAAGGAATTTTTCTAATAGTAAAACAAACAAAAAATTTAAAAATACATTTATTTAGAATCTCGATTACTATCACAATTATTGTTTGTTAAATTGAAGTCAATGTTATATTTACTTGGCAGTTTCCATCTCCCCAAAAGGTGGACAGAGAAGTCAAAAATATTTTTTAAACAACACTTAAGATCAGCAAGAAAAACTAGCTAGAGGATTGGAAAAACATAAGCCTCACTCTATTAATAAAACAAATCTCAGAAGGCTTAAAGTTTCAGTGTAGTAACTAAAGCTATAATATACTAGATAAAAATAGTTTTAAAAAATTATTTTATTTAGCTTTATTACTTATTTTAACATGACCAGAGAGGGTCAGCAAGAGCGAGAGAGAGAAAGGGAGAGAGAAAGGGAGAAAGAAAGCAAGCCACCAGGTCTGAGACTCGAACTACGGTTAGCCATGTAGTAGTCTAATGCCCTTAACTACCACACCACCTGCTGGCCCCAGAGGTGAGTAGTTTTATACTCTTAGATTAAAAAGCCTAGATAATTATGATTCAAAAGCCAGAAACATAAAGGAAAATATCTATATATTTGATTATAAACTAATTAAAAACTTCCAGAGAGCCACAATGTAAACAACAAACTACAATATATATGATGAAAAATCAATAAAATCAATCTCTTGGAAGAAGATGTGAAGATTAAAATAGATAAAGGACAAGGTTCAGATACATCACAAAATTCTCTACAAAATTCACAAGTTAAGAAATACCAATAGCCAGGGGCCAGTAGGTGGCATGGTGGTCAATGGTCAAGGCCGCTGGACTCCCATGTGGCTAAACACGGTTTGAGTCCCAGACCTGGTGGCTGGCTTTCCCTCTCTCTCTCCCTCTATCTCTCTCGTCAAACTAAAATAAGTAAATAAATAAAGTTAAATAAAATAATTCTTTTTTTAAAAAAGGAAATATCAATAGCCAGATACCAACAGCAAAAGACATCAACCGTTGTTTGGCTGTAGCAGTAACCAAAGAAATGGAAGGAAAAATGAGATTCTACTTTCTGTCTAGCAGACTGACAAAAAGGACTGGCCCAATGCTGCCAAAGAGGAGAAAACGGTCCTTTCATATAATATCGTTATTCAGTCTTTCTTAAGGGCAGTCTAGAAGTGTACATTAAGATGTAAAAGTGAACATAAATGAATTGGGAGAAAAATAAATCAAACAGACAACATTGCTTCACATTGGATGTTCACTATAGTGTTGGTTATTGGGAAACTACAACTACAATTGCCCTTCAACAAAAAGCTAATAAACCATGAACTATTCACATATTGGAATACTACCCAGCCATTTATAAAAATGCTGTGGAGATACACAGATACGTAACATGCATTAACAAAAACAATGACATTCTGTGAGAAACACACATTGTGAGCAGAATACTGTTCATATAAAACCGTGTGTGAAGAGTTAGTTAGGTCAGTACAGGTAGAAACCAAACTTGTCACCAGATGTTTTCGCTAAGTACTGGGGCTAGGGATGCTTTGTTCTGTTTAATTTTTCATGGGTGCTGTATTTATAATCAGGAAAAAATAGTTCTTTTCATTTGGAAAAAAATATAAAGAAATAAAAAGCAAACTAAGATATAAAAAACTAACAGTGTTAGCTACCTACCAAAGCATTTTCTGCAATATCTGTCTGGACAAACTTTCCAATAGTCTCCTGCAACGAAATAATCAAAGCTGATTAAATCATACATAAAACAAACAAACCCAGTAGTAAATAAAACAAAGTAGTTGGTGAAATTTCTAAAGGAGAAAGCATTAATTACAATGCATTTTCAGTTTCATAAAGGTATTTTTCAGTATACTATCAGGTTCTTTTCTGTATGCTTTTCCCACAGATATTACCTAATCTCATGGCTTCCATTTGTTACCTCTGACAGAGACTTTGAAATAAGAACCTTAGCTTTCATTTCATCAGACTTACCTGGTCTCAATCCTTTTTCCACCCTTTGAGACAGGTCATTACTGTTCAAATTTTATAAAAACTGAGGTCTGGGAAGACTGGTCTGAAGGTACAGAGGAAGCAAATAGGACTGCTAAAATTTTGAACTCTTATCTGTCTGACTTTGTGTCTATGGTTTTAACATCGATATCCCAACTTGTTCCCCACTACCAACTACCTATCCAACATTAATACTAATATGCTCTTCTGTGACCTCAAACTCAATGCATCCAAAATAGGAATCATCCCTTTGTCCTTGCCCCATCATATCCCCTGATTGTTCCCAATTACTGGGATCATAACTTTAAAGTTATCCTGCAAGAGTCTTTTAATAAATCTTCACTGTGTATTCTGGGTACTAGGAATTTAACAGGGAATAAAAACGAGCAAGTCTAATAAGAGAAGACAAATACCAAATAAACACACGTCAGGTAGTAATATGAGCCATAGGGACAAACTACTTAGTGGAGAATGAGTGCTATTTAAGATAGCAGTAAGAGATGAGATCTTTTTTCTTAATTTGCGAGAGGGCATGTGCATTCACCAGAGAGACAGAGAGAAAGAGATGGAGAGAGACAGAGAGAAAGAGAGGGAAAGTGGGAAAGCATCCCCATGGGGAATGGTCACACAGCAGTTCCTTCTCCTCCATTTTCCATCTTTTCAAGATGTTGGTCATGCACCCATACAAGCCTGGCATGTTTTCAAGTCACTGGGTGCAGGACTCGAACCACACAGCTGGCCATGTGGGATCCACCTCATGTAACCACCAGACATGGGTTGGCCCTGAAAGAGATCTTACATGAGAAGTCATCTGAGCAAAGAATTGACAGAGGGGAGTATGCTAGCTGCATAGATATCCTGGAGAAGGAATGGGTTGTTGGGAAAGTCATGACACATTTTTGCATACAAGGCAAGAATTTTCTGACAATCTAATAGAAAACAAGTGCAATAATAATCCCTGGCCTGACTAAGAGACAGCAAGGAGGCCAGGTTTGCTGAAAAGTAGGGAGTGAGAGGTGAGAAGGAGGTAGGATCAGAAACAGGAAAGAGCCAGATCCCTGAGGACCTCATCGATTAAGACTCAACATTATTATATAATTAGATGAGAGGCCAACAGTTCGGAGCAAATGACTGTCGACAATTTGACCTGTGTTCTGAAAGGATTATTCTTCTGTGAGAATAAACTCAAAGGGTCAAAGGTAGAAGCAAGGAGGTCAATAAAGAGGTTACTGCAATAATCTAAGCAAGAAGTGATGACCACTTGGACCAATACACTAAGAGTGAAGGTGGTAAGATATAGCAGTTGTAGATATATTCTGAAATCCAAATAAGGTTTGTGGATGGAGTCTTTGAGGGAGAGGGATATTCCAAGAGGAATCAATAAATATATTTTTGGCCTAAGCAACTATTGTGGGTCATTGGAAAAGTCACAACATATTTTTCTGTTTTTCTATGCAAAGACACATCATGACTTTTCTGATGACCCTACAGAATGGATTTACCCTGCCCATCATAACCAATTAGTCATCAAGTTCTGCTGATTCCGTTAACTCTAGTACTTTCTCATCAGTCCATTATTACATCTACTGCCTCACGTGGCCCTTTAACTTTTAAGCCTGCACTGACTTTAACACGTCCTTCTACAAAGTCTTGTTTCTCAATCCTTCTTATATACCATCCCTAAATTAATCTCTTCCTTAAACATCACTATAGCAAGCTCTAGAGCAGTCTACTTCTGTTTTTGGGGTTTTTTTTGTTTTTGTTTGTTTGTTTGTTTGTTTGTTTTATCTTCTGGCATGCCCTGACTTCCAATGCTATAAAATTCCAGGTGAGATTATATGCCTTCCAAAATAATTTGATGACATAGTGATTTTTCCTTTTCCTTGGCTCCTAATGCACTTTAATTTTTTTGGAGAAGTTTTTTTCTATAGGGCGTGTGCGCTCACCAGAAGGACAGAGAGACAAAAAGTGAGAAATCACCCCCCGGGGGGTGGCCATGCTGCAATCCCTTCTCCTCCAATCTCCTCTCGGGATCTTGGGCATGCACACACATGTACCCGTGTGAGTTTAAGCCATGAGGTCCAGGACTCGAACCGTGGTTGACTACATGGGAGTCCAGCGACATAGCCATTACGCCAACTGCTGGTCCCAAAATTAGCTGATATTATTTCTCAAAGTACATTAAAACAATGAAAAAAAAATACCTTATTCAAATGTTGTGCTATATAACCTCTTCCACAACCAACATCCAAAGCAAGAGAAAAATCTCTAAAAAAAAAAAAAAAGGACACTGAAGTTATGCTTTGTCTATAAAATAGCCTATAATTATAAACTAATTTTTCTTAAAAACATTTTAATGAACACACTTTCTGAAAGTAACATTATCTGTCCTTTCTGTGTCACTTTACCAGACAGCATACTATAAAGAGCAAGTCTGATCCTGCCATTCATAGGACCACATAATAAATCAGCTTTCCATAAGGCAGCTCCATGATATAGATCTGAAGAACAGGTCTAATGGGGATTTTCTAATTCATCAATACATCCAGAATGAACATAGAATAAAGAATTAAAAGACGGGGACCAGTGGATGGAGTAATGGCTGCGTCGTCGCTGGACTCCCATGTAGTCGACCGCAGTTCGAGTCCTGGACCCAGTGGCATAAACTCATGCTGGCCGTGTGTGTGTGTGTGTGTGTGTGTGTGTGTGTGTGTGTGTGTGTTTGTGTGTGTGTGCCTAAGATCCCGAGAGGAGAATGGAGGAGAAGGTATTGTGGCGTGGCAATCCCCCCGGGGGGGAAGATTTCTCACTTTCTCTCTGTCTCTCTCTGTCCTTTTGGGGAGCACATGTGCCCTATAGCAAAAACGTCTCCAAAAACAAAACAAAACCAAAGAGTGAAAAGACGTTAATGTAAATTAACATGAATATAACTGACATACTTATCAGGGACTTAGTAATTATCCCTATTTCTCAAATTTGTTGAGGCATCAGAATACTTAGAAATCTTTCTGTGAAGTATTATAAAGTACTAAAGTATTAAACCTTGGAAAAAAAGTTTAAAAACAGCCTGAAAACTATTTAAAGTACTATTCTAAATGTTTAGGTTCAAAGTGCTATTCTAAATGTTTGGAGCCACTTTAGGTTAAATCAACCCAGGTACCTCAACTAATAAGCACTATCAAAGCTTGAATTCATTCTGTTTGAATCTTGAACTAAAACTATTGGTTGCTATGCTAAATACTCTCTCCTAAATATATAGTATCATATTAAATCAGTACAGACATCTAATTGTATGCCACAGATTTAAGAATAATATATGACAAGAAAACTTAATCTTCTTTTTTTTTTTTTTTAGAGAGATTTTTGCTATAGGGTGCATGTGCTCACCAGAGAGACAGAAAGAGGAGAAACTGCCACACCACAATCCCTTCTCCTCCATTCTGCTCTTGGGATTTTGGGCATACGCACATAAGCATGGTGTGAGTTTTAAGCCATCAGGTCAGGGACTCAAACTGTGGTTGACTCCGTGAAAGATCAGCAACATAACCATTAAGCCAACAGCAGTCACAAGATAACTTAAAAATTTCATCTACTAATAATATTTTTTCCTGAAAAACTCAAACAATGAAAAATCCATTTTCAATTTCTGTTAAAAACCAGTAATGGAGCCAAACAGTGGTGCAGCATGCAAAATGCAATGTTTTTCGAGGCTGACCCACAGGGAAAGGTTTCGGGTTCATGTCTGGGACCTCCCTCAGTATGCTGGCCTGTGCATGCCTACAACCCTGGGCTGACTGAAGCTGGGGGTGGATCATGGTGTCCAGATCTTATATTTTACAAAACTCCTTTTCCTTTTTTTTCAAAAAAAAATTCACAATAGAACATGTGTACATAAGAGAAAGAGAGAGAGAAAGATGAGCACCCTCCCTCTACAGGGTTTGGTCATGCCATAATCCCCCTTTGCTAGTCTACCATTGTGGTTTCACTAATACTTGATGAAACTGTTCTTTTCTCAAGTGGTCTCTATATAATTGTCACTATTAACAATGCTTAAGATAAAATGACCAAAAAAATAAATAAAGATAAAATGGCCAAAGTCTCCTATACCTTGACAAGGGAACAAATCTAGGTAAATGTCTCCTTCATTTATGTGATTAAAAAAAATTGTTTAGACTTTTTATAAATTTTATATTTTAGGGGCCAGCAGGTGGCATGGTGGTTGTTGCACTGGATTCCCACATGGCCAACAGCAGTTCAAGTCCCAGATCTGGCAGCCTGCTTTCTCACTTTCCTTCTCTCTCTTTGTCTCTCTGTGGTGAATGCACATGCCCTATAGCAAGTTAAAATAATAATAATATGGGACTAGCAGTTGGTGTAATGGTTATGTTGCTGGACTCCCATGTAGTCGGCTGTAGTTTGAGTCTCGGACCTGGTAGCTTAAACTCAAACCGGGTGCATGTGCGTGCATGCCCAAGATCCTGAGAGGGGAATGGAGGAAAAGGTATTGTGACATGGCCATCTCGCCTCCTGGGAGTGAAAAATAAATAAAAATAAAATATTAAAATAATAAAAATTAAACATATATATATATATATATGTATATAATTTTTTTGAGAGGTTTTTGCTATAGGGCACTTGTACTCGCCAGAAAGACAGAGAGAAACAGAGAGATAGGAAGCGAAAAATCACCCCCCAGGGAGGATGGCCATGCCACAATCCCTTCTCCATTCTCCTCTCGGGATCTTGGGCACGCACACACATGAGCCTGGCGTGAGTTTAAGCCACTGGGTCCGGGACTCAAACCGTAGTCGGCTTCATGGGAGTTCAGTGCCATAGCCATTATGCTAACTGCTGGTCCCTAAATAAATATTTTTTAAAAATTCACATGCAGTCAATTTTTTATTTACAGTTTTAAAGTAATCTTTCCATCACTGGTTTTTAGCCAAAAAAATAGATCAGTCACATTCAGGCTTGGAGACAACTATGAATTGTGCTTACAAACATTTTTTTTTTCTTTCAGGCAACAATGAATAAAAGAATATAGAGAGGCAAGACATTTGTGGGACACAGTAATAGTTTATTACCTGTTGATATCATGTATAGTATTATCAAATGGACTGGTCTGAGGTGTAATTCATGTTGGGTAAATTCTCATTGCAAGCCAAATGATGTATAGTGATCAAATGTATAAAATAATAATAAAATTAAAATTTACAAAAAAAAATATCTGCTTGCACATACCCTATGGCAAAAACCTCTAAAAACAAAACAAACACAACAAAGCAAAAAAGAGTATCTGTTTTCTCAGGCAAGAATAAGGTGGAGAGACATATAAAGTGATTCAAATCACGAATCCTGAAAATAAATTCCTCCAGATTTTGTCTTTCCAGATATAAGTTCTGAATATGTAATCTTTTTGACTGTATTTTCTATTGTAACTATCACTTACCTGGCTATGTCATATACACGGTCCGCAATCCGACTTCCAACCTGAAGGATTATACACACAAAAGTTAAGTAAGTTTGGGAACCAGCAGTTAGCGTAATGGCTATGTCGCTGGACTCCCACGTGGTCGACCGCGGTTCGTGTCCCGGACCCGGTGGCTTAAAACTCACGCCGGGCGCTTGTGCGTGCGTGCCCAAGATCCCAAGAGGAGAATGGAGGAGAAGGGATTGCGGCGTGACCATCCCCCTTGGGGGGTGATTTCTCGCTTTCTGTCTCTATGTCTCTCTCTGTCTGGCGAGCACACGCGCCCTACAGTGAAAATCTCTCCCAAAAAAAAAAAAAAGTTAAGTAAGTTTAACAGTAAAGTAAACCTGTTTGAGTATTCAACAATCCATAGGTTACTATATTTGAACAAGATGATACTTTCCTTCATTCTCTTTTTTCTAAAGAATTATTTAATTTTAAAATTATTATTCTTTTTAACTAGCTATAGATCATGTGTAATCAGCAGAGAGGGAGAAAGAAAAAGTGAGAAAGCAAGCCACAAAGCATGGGACTTGAATCATGGTCAGTCACGTGAAAATCCATCGCTACAATCACCCTGGCACCTGCTGGCCCTCCCTTTGTTCTTTTTAAAATCTTTACCACAGCAGCCTTCTTTCCTTTTTTATTTTATTTTTCTTTTTTTGGAGAGGTTTTTCCTATAGGGACATGCGCTCACCAGAAAGATAGAGACAGAAAGCGAGAAATCACCCCCCAGGGGGGATGGCCACGCCACAATCCCTTCTCCTCCATTCTCTTCTCGTGATCTTGGGCATGCACGCACATGCGTCCAGCATGAGTTTAAGCCACTGGGTCCAGGACTCGAACCATGGGAGTCCAGCAACACAGCCATTACGTCAACTGCTGGTCCTTCTAAATACATGTCACTCTATATTTCAGGAACTAACAACTGACAGAATCAGTGTAGTATGTACACCTTGCCTTACAGATAAGAAACAGAAAACATACTGACAGTTGATTTTTCTATTGCTATAAACCACATCACCAACATCTGAGCTATTCTCTCATCTAAGGCTTTCCTAGGAAAGGCATATTGTCAACCCCTGGTTAGCCAGTGCTTGCACAGAGCTCTGCTCAAAGGAGCAGCTCAGTAAATGTTATTGCATATGTTGCACTGGCTTTAAAGGGTCCATTTTATGAGTACTTGACTCCGATTCTGTTCAGTGCTGAAGGGGCATTTACCAAGGCCTGAGCTCAGGTGCTCTGTGCCCTGAGAGGAGAAACTCTCATCCCTAGTCCACCTGGGCAGAGAGACAGAAGTCAAATCAGCACAAATAAGAGATCTTGATTTGAGCTTTCTAAACGGTAAATCAGATTATGTCACTCTGCTACTCATTTAAGTGGCTTACATTCCTCTAGAGCATTGTTGTTCAAAAATAACAAGAGCCACATGTGTAATTTTAAATTCTCCAGTACCCACTAAAAAATAAAAGTAAAAAGAAACAAGAGAGGGACCAGCAGATGGCTTAATGGCTACCTTGCTGGACTCGCACATAGGAGACCTTGGTTGGAGTCCTGGACCTGATGGGTTGAAACTCACACCAGGTGAGTGCCCAAAATCCCAAGAGGAGAATGGAAGAGAATAGATTGCAGTGTGGCCATCCCTCGTCAGGGGTGATTTGTTGTTTTCTGTCTTTCTGTCTCTGTGTCTCCAGCAAGCACACACACCCTAGAGCAAAAATCTCTTAGAAAGAAAGGAAGGAAGGAAGGAAGGAAGGAAGGAAGGAAGGAAGGAAGAAAGAAAGAAGAAAGAAAAGAAAGAAAATGGAACAAGAAAAATTAATTTTATTGTATCTTATTAACCCAAAATATCGAAAAACATGATTTCAATATGTAATCATTATATAAACTATTAACAGGACTTTTTACCTCCTTTTTTCACACTAAGTCACTGTAACCCAGTGTGCATTTTATGCTTATAATACATCAATTGGACTTGCCACATGTCAAAAGTCCAACAGCCACATGTGGCCAGCAGTTATCTTACTGGGTGGACAATTCGGTTAGAGAAGAAAATGCAGCCTTTACCACATAAAGCCCTAAGATCAGGGCCCACTCTGACCTCCTTTCTCATTCCCCAACCTGGAGATTCACTGGAGGCCTTCACAAGGTCCTTTCTGGCTCAGAGGCTTTGCACCTGCCTTTTCCTTGACATACGAGCTCTCCCTCGACCCCCATCCCAGATCTCGGCTAATTCCTCACCATGTCCTCTGTCTTCCCTGAACATGTACTCACTATGCCACTTCACTTTACTCGTCTCGCATCACTTCTTTAGCTGAAATTACGTTTCTCGCGTACTGTTTTGGGGCCCCTCCTATTTCCCACTGACAGGCCTTGAGGGAAGGCAGCGGTCTGCCTTTGCTAGGCCATATAAACTGTAAGTCTGGCAATATTTGCTGAGCGAATGAAAGCATGAGTGAATGAAAACTACGTTGCAAATATCCGGGCCCAGCAGTCCCATGATACAGGAGCGACCCAGCAGCAAGTCCTGCTGCTCAAGGTCACACAGTGAGGTGGGGTCCGGCGAAAACTCCGGGACCCGGACAAGTCGGGGCACCGCCCTTCCCCGAGGTCCCGCGGTCTCACCTCCTCTTTCAAGTAGTCAAACTTCATCGGCTCCGGCTGCCGGGCCGCCCAGTTCTTCTGTTTCCTCTTCAAATCCCGGTCGAAGATATTTAGAGATCTGGCCGTAGTGCCACTGGGAGGAGAGACACCAGAGGCGACCTGCCGGCGGCCAAGGTTCCCCGCGGGGACCCCTGCCGCCCGAGGACACCCTGCCGGCCGCCAAGGTTCCCCGCGGGGACCCCTGCCGCCCGAGGACGCCGCCACAGGTGCCAGAGCCAGGTCTGCCGCAGCATATCCAGCCGCGACGCCCCTAGATGGTGCGTTCTGTGATGCGCATGCGCGGGCGCAGCTTCCGTAGCTACTGAAGAGATTTTCGCAACGAGAAAAGTGAAAGTAGTTTGGCCCAGTTCGCGTGCCATTACGGCGAACGTCGCGCGGAGCATTGTGGGGGTGCATCACACGTGCGCCTCGGAGCGGACCCGGAGACGGTGAGTTGGGTGGGCTTGATAGAAGGGCTCAGCAGGGCCACGACCCAAACCAAACGAGGTATCCTTCAGATTAGTGAGTGAGGAGGCACTTCCTCCTTGTCTTTCGGTCCTCATTCTTGGGTTCTCTCGGCCCTTTCGGGTTCGCTTATCGGGAAACCTCAGAAGGAGACCCTCGTTCCGGGGCCAGGTTGGCAGTCCCTGAATTAGAGGATGGTTGGAAGGCGAGAGTGGATCATGGAAATGAGGGCCTCGGAAGGGAGGTCGAGTCGCCTTCCGCCTCTTCGAATCTCTGATGTTTATCGAGTGGTTTCGTATTGAGCATTTACACGCGTTACCTCGGTTGCTTGGATGAGGCGGTGTCTAGAGGGATAAGTGCTTGAACACATCTAAAGAGTGTAAGTACATCAGTGAAACTTTTGGCTTTTCGTGGTTAGTGTACAAAAAGTTCTCAATTTAAAGAAAAATACAAGTTAATACTTTATTGGCCTTATTTTTGAATAAAGCAATACTGCCACTCCATTTTCGTTCTCAGCTATTAATTGGAGATGCTAAGCCACTAGAGGATATTTACAAGAGAATAACATTGGTAGTATGTTTTGGGGGGAATGAGCCCATTTGGGCCTTAGTTACTTTTAGAATAAGAGATTATAGAAGTAGCATTTATTAATTGGAGACTTCCGGTTCGTGAAGGATGGTCAAATTTAAAAAGGGATCTCTAAGCTAAATCTGAAATGATTTTGCTTAGGAAACTAGCCTTGTAGAACTAAAGAAACTATAGCTGAAGATTGAAGATTGATAGAGAATTGAGACTAGACTGAACAAACAGATGACACCAATTGAAGGTTGGGAATCTTTTTGTTACATTAGCTTTTAACTTGTAATACATAAAAGTATATGGACAGAAATATAGAAATTCTGAGTGCAGTGGATTGGAAAACATTTATCCCCTCTACAAAGCCCTAGGATTGTTTGGGTTTTGTTAAATTTATTTCTTGAAATAATCTGTAACAAAAAGAGGATGTTTTGATGTATTTTTGCTTTTCTATGCATGACCCAGAATAAATTGGGGAAATGAAGTTAGACTTACATTATTTTATATACCTGAAAATATATTGTGAAAGAATGTGTTTTTAAAAACATTCCATTAGACTACTAACCATTTGTTTTTATTTTTTAGCAACCGATTTCTTCCAACATTTTATTTAGTAAAACATTTAAAAATGTCGTCCAAACAAGAAATAATGAGTGACCAGCGGTTTAGGCGAGTTGCAAAGGATCCAAGATTTTGGGAAATGCCAGAAAAAGATCGAAAAGTCAAAATCGACAAGAGATTTCGAGCCATGTTTCATGACAAAAAGTTCAAGTTGAACTATGCTGTGGATAAAAGAGGGCGCCCCATCAACCATAGTACAACAGAGGACTTGAAACGCTTTTATGATCTCTCAGATTCTGATTCTGATCTCTCCAATGAAGATAGCAAAACATTGAATCAAAAGAAATTAAAGAAAAAATCCCAGAGTAGAAAAGAAATAGATTCCAAAAATATGACCGAAGAAAAGAAGAAAGAAACCAAGAAAATTAATCAAAGGGATTCTGGAAATAATGATTTAGATAATTCTGAAAGAATTCAGAAAATGAAAAACTCACATAAGTCTAAGAAGATAGATTCAAAAATAATTCCCAAGAAGGGTAGCGAAGAATTGACACAGCAAAGTACAAAAGAGGGAAAAAAAGTTGTTCAGCGGACAGTAGACTCGAGCCCCTTTGAATCTATACAATCTCCCAAAATCAAATGTTCAAAGACTGGAAGAGAAATGCAGTCAGGTTAGTTGGAAAGAATTAAGATTCTTCGGTGTTGCATTGTTTATTTTTATACTACTGTTTTAAAAAGTAATCATATATGAATATTTCATAGGATAATGAGACTACTTAAATGCTTATTTGGAAATATAAAACTATGAAAGGAAAAATATGCAATGATTATCAATTTTTTATTTGGTTTTAGAAGACAGATGAGAAAAATTGAATTTTGAAGTTAGATTTTTATTTGTAATGGGCACTAGTGAGAGTTACATTATCTAACCAGATTCATTATTTATTTGAGATAATCACATGCATTTTTTGTTTTGTTTTGTTTTGTTTTATAGA